ATAGACGAATTTAGTTGGCCCTCTGGCAAAGAAAATAACGAGGAAATTATGTAATTGTTAGAACAAAAATCTAGATTTCCTGATATAGTCAAATTGGTTTGCGAAAAAACAATTTAATACTAGTAACTTTGTGTATCGCCATGTTGAACACAAGTGTTGACAGGTTTTTTAGACCTGCGGTTTTTTTTTTAAATATCATCACAACATAAATCAAAACAATCTAATAATATGTGCTATACCAGAAAAAACATACTTCTATTCGACTTTGAAATTATAAAAAATTAAGTTGACGCTAAATTGTTGATAGCCTGTCTTTTTTTAGTATCATAAATAAGACCTGTCGTAACAGAACCATCAAGACTATTTAAATTGCATTTTAATTCATCTAATTCAGTAAAAGTTTACCTACTTGTGCTACTTAAGCTGAACGAACCTCTTCTCTCATACATTGTCGGCTGCAGGCAAATTCTCATAGAGTGTTCAACATTGTCGAATAATTGAAGAAACAGCCCTCAAATAAGCTGTTGTGATTCGTTGTTGCCGACAAAACTGTCAGATACAGCCTAACAGGGCCTAGAAATAAGTGTTTTATTTGTCAAGTAGTTTTTTCCTTTTACTTTCGCGTAGTTATGTTTTTTTCCGTCTATCGCAACACATAGCTATCACAATGGAGTCACAGTGAAGTGCTGTGTCATCAATGCCAATTATCCACCGTACGTCTGGTGATTCTTGTTACGTGGGATTTTCTCGTTCGCCTAACGAGGGCGAACGTATTATAACGATGAGAGGCATCCAGCCAAACTCATTTCTTCTTGAAAGACAATAGAAGTTTGTAGTTCCACTTCAGCTGCTTCGGTGAACATTATCATTTCGGATCATGTTCAGCACAACACCGAACGTCACTAATAGATTGATGACTCAGCTAGCTTAGCCCGGAGTATCTGTTCCTAGCCGTACGTCTGATAGCTGTGCATCTCCCCTAGTCATTTATCCATCTGTCTTCGATCCATGCACGTTATTATGTAGACTAATGTGTATTTAGACATCGTAACGATCAGACACAGCGGATTCTGGCTTGCATGATAAGAACTGTTATATTAACCATTAGCGTTCCTCCATCAAGAGATGTGCATTGCTGGCGCGCTATTGAAGGCTGGATGGTCACGATCAGGGCCGATGTACCCCTGACCAGTGTCCGAACTGATACGAACCCGGGTTCTGGGAGCCCTGGAACGCCTCGCTGCGGGGGAAAACTCTCGGATCTGTTACTACTGCGGCTAATGCGGGTGTCGTGTGAAATCTGCTCGACGCATTGCACTCGGAGCCTACCCCAGGATTCAAGCGACGGATGTCAAAAGCTGTATATACATTGTACGCGTGTGGGACGATCGTCTAACGCAGAATGTCTAACAATGGGCATTCCTCGCAGATACGAGCGAGTGGCCCCGTTTTCGGCTTTGCGCACCGATTTCGTCCGGCTAAGCCAGAATGATATTACCAATAAACGGCAAAGGATAATTAGTAATGTGGCTGGCATTGATAGAGATGATGCTAAAAGAAACACTCAGACGTCAACAAGCGCAAATGAGCCAACTAACACACTCGCTCATTTAATCGAATTGTTCGTATTGTATCGTTATAATAAAATCGTCCTTAAATACGTGGCTCCTAGCGGTTTACGTCGGGTTCCAGTGTGGCCAACTTGCCACTTTGCAACGCTGAGTGGAGCGACAATAGGCCGATAAAAATCCCTTATCTTCCCTTTTTTCGATGTTTATTAGCGGTTTTGTTACTCAACCAGGGTAGAAGTCAGGTACGCAAATGACAATTATAGGGTAAGCGATAGAACGCCAAGCAGTCGCTTCATATATGCGAACAGCAGGTGATAGAGAAGCTGTCAATTAAGATAGATAGGCATAAACAAGAACGTGACGGCCTGTATGACGGTGGCGCCAGGGGAATGAATAGTTTCGGCCGAATCAGACAAGAGTGGAGTAAGGGTATAGAACGCAATTAGATTCTGTAGGTGACCTATTTGCTCGCTAATCTTAAGGACACGTTGTCGTCTGGTTTCAAACCCGGACATGGACACACTTCGTCCTGCGTCGGAAGCCCATTGTCTAATGGAATGCCTAATCGCGATACCGGAGGTTAGCGCGAGGGATTCTGATACGGTTAACTTTTAATGAAAAGTTTTCAATTAAGACGAAAGTGAGTTGATTATAGTTTGTGTCAGAATTCAATATGAGCTTGTAAATCGCTATAGCTAGCGGCCAACAGAATGTTGACAAAGGTGCGGTACTGCGTTTGGTGTATTTTCTTCTATGACTATATATAAACGGTAGATGTTGACAGAGTGAAGTTACTATACGATTAGGTATATGTTTTCAGCTGTAGCTATGTAATCAAGTACCGCTGCGCAACAAACTTCTTATTCTTAACATGAAAACGTTCTGCAGTTTGCTTGAGCCCGATAGGTGCAATAATTACCACAGCATGGCGGCATATTACATTGAAATTACTGCATTAGTCGAAATAAAAACCACGACTACGACATAACAAAACAGCAGAAACTACAATGACATTACTACGCATTTACAAAATGACGGCCATGTACATTAAATGTCTTTTTGCTACCGTCACATATACAGTGTCTAAAATGAGAGTATCGCTACCGTGTCAGCACAGTACGTCGCTATCCATTGATGACGGCGCAGTCGTAAGCGTCGCGTCACTCGTCGGCGTTTGCCGCGTCATCCCCCAACATTTAAACCTCACTAACCGATACAACACATCGAATGACCCACGCACATTCACATGGATACTTGTGCATACGCAAGCGTCAACGAACGCATAAATCCAATGGGGTGCAGCGTTCCACCGCGAACGTTTGAAAATACCAACGGAGACTCATTATAGGAATACAGCCCGTAGCTGTATAACACGTCGGTGAGTGTTGCCGCGTCGTTAACGTACACATTCTACAATTGAGGTCGTCTAGTAGAGCTGGGGTTAGAAGGGGAAGTAATCATCTCCGTTTTACAGAGCAGAAAACTGCAACAGAAGTAATAAAAGCCATGTTATAATAAACATTTCCGTTTTATCCGCCATCGTACTCGGTCGGATGGTTACCTTAGTTGTCATGATAACGCCAAGCTATATTAAACATGTTTACCATATCAACAACGGTAACGATGACAAGGAGCCCGTATCAACTAGCAGCGCAACCTGCACCAGCTCCCGTTGAAAATTGACGCTCAGACGTCGTTGAGCACCGTTTGACCCCTTGTGAGCAACCCCGCAGAAGCGCCAGTAAGAACTGTCTGTCGGTAACCCGCAATCTTTAACGCTTCCATCTATTGTGAAGTCTTTGTGAAGTCGCTAATGCTATGCAGGACCCGATGCCGATACTTCTGGTAGCGCAACACTTCGCAGCTGCATTCGATTACCCTTGCAACTTGTTTTTGCAACCGCTGCCCTGTTCCAGCTCGGGACTCGTCTATGAACTGTAGAGGAATTTTCGTGCGACATCTTTATCGAAGCTGTTTCTACAGGGAAGCGGGCGTTGGCTCTCCCTCCCTAATATATATATATATATATATATATATCCGTAAATTTTCTTCTTTTTTTTCGAACATGGTGCCTTGCATCGGCGGATAGGTACCCTGAGTCTCCCCAACAACACTTGCCTGCTCGGCAAACGGCGATTCCTAATTGTAGCAATGCAAACAGAAAAATCTTTGCGCATCGCTTCGTATTTGGATCTGCGGTAGCGAGTCGCCATAAATGAACGGCCCTAAAGGCGACTGGTTAAAGCCAAATGGAAGAACATTTCTGAGATCTACACCTGCTGGCTACATGAAACGTCATCCATGTAATAGGTATGGAAGCTTCTGCATCGCAGGCAGCATGTTAAGACTTTCAGAGACTTGTGGGTTCGCAAGCACTACTTCACTTAATTAGTGGACGGATTAATTCGTTCCAGGGCCTGTTACAAGCTATTACGCTATAAACAAAGTCCTGGATGATATCTTTACTGGTCTGGTTTTTCAATTCGATCGACGGAATCTATCTCCATTCAGACTGTTATATTAACCATAACGGTGATAGGAGGACGTTTAGTGTATATTGGTCAATGTTGCGCCGTAATCCATCGTTCAGTACCTAGTCTATACAGATTTTTTTTACCCTATCCTACTGAAGATATCATTGTATGTAATTCGGTTTTCAAAATCTGTTAGCATTAATGATCTTTCATCACACAAATAAGCATTCATAAACACAATAAGCGTACGTTGAATAACACCTGACATCTAGTTCTTCGCGCGTATCCGCCAACGAGTTCTCAAGAGCGCTGAACTCAGGTACTCGAAAGCTGGCAGGGACTTCTGCCTCCCCTCTAGTAACCTACTACAGAAAGGTCTATTTGATCTCTGGCAGTCGCGAATAAAGTATTTTACGAGAAGTTGCTTCTCAATTTTTCAAATCTTCCGATTTATCCGTCGGTGATGGGGTTGGCTTTCGGTGCGGTCGGTCATCGTGTGACATGTAAACAACAGAACAAACCAAGACCAAAGAATATACCGTGCCGGCGGGTTTGTGAAAACACCCAAATCAATATTTCGAAAATTAGACAAACACAGCATCGCCTTGCCGTCAGCAGCTATTCCGAGAAAATGATAAACATTTGCACTTGATTCAACGAGACGAAAGAGGCCGATCGCCCCACCGCAGCAGCAGCAGCAGCTGATAACAAACATAGAAATGTTATAGCGCTCAAGACGGGAAATTTAAACTAGCTCAACTTTCCAGTTCCGTAATTTTGCAGTGCCGTTCGTATTAGTCTACTCGATCTGAAATAATGTTTATGGCAGATCAGCGAAAACAAAAACAAACCACTTGAATCGTGTACGGTTATTTACTAGATATTTGCTCATAATTCGTAGTGAAGTGTTTTTTTCTGAGGCACTCAATAGAAGGACAATAAAGACACGCACAAAAACTTGTCGTTGTTTGACTTTTCAAAAAATTTACGCGTTATTTATTTTCTTCTTCTATCCGATCACCATTAGCAATCAATTGTCTTTGTATGCTTTCCATAACGTGTCCGTATGTAAGTAACCGCGACTTTAGCATTAGCACACTCGAGCAACTTTAAAAAAATAAATATATTACACCATGATTTTTCATCAATACCATTCAACGATCAATATATTTTTTCCCTATATTTCACAACGGATGTCCCATTTCTATTTAAGCCATCCTCTGTGGAACTCGCGTCTGCCGAAAACTATGTTTGGCCAATGTTTCAGTCGATCATATTTGACGGTGGCTATGACCTCTCGCTTCAGAGTTGTTGTTACTATTACATCGTATTTATATGACGTTTACACACTTTTATGTACAAAAGCGTATTGATACTCCTCTAACCACGTTCCACTTTGACGCATGAACTTGTTTTCTTCTTGCAGGGTCTTTACTTCACTCAGGATTCAGGAAGATACATTCTATTCGTACCAACTAGTTTATCTAAGTCTTTATATATATATAATGTATGTACAAGATAAGTTTACGCTCAGCGTATGGGTCTAGATATCTAGATAAAAAGTTCTGTCGACGGATTCGGTCCAGTTCCTTGTCATCTTTACTAATGAGTTTACGCTCGCCAGAACTGCACGCAGCTAATTTAGCATAATATGTAGTCATAAACCTGCATATGTTGTGCCTTTATGTACTGTCGTTATCGATATTGCAACGAGAACTTCTTAAACATGTTTGCTCTAAACACTGAATTAGCTCGACCACTATACCCAGTTACCACTATCGGCATCCCTAGTGAGGTGGTCACTGTACGGTGGTCGCCTGCTTAAGTTATATTGTTGGTTGTCATTGACCCACGTGTTCTCACCAGACACCCATGGCACTACGTCTACGAGCGTCTCACCACCATTAAACACCTCAGCCCTCCGGTCATGCTTCCTTGTCCGCCTTTCTAGTTTTATCCTATTCTGGCTGTATATGTATGTGCGTATTTGCTTGTGTGAGGTTATCCCATATATCATAGCCACATAGACGTATTCTGTTCCCAGGATCTGCGTCGTGCGTTGTGACTGTGATGAAGTTGAGCGGTGGGCCTGCTTACCCGTGTACAAACCAGCGATGAGGTGAGTCACTCGTGCCGACGAAGCAAGTTTGCAACAGCGCTAAAAGGAAATCTTTCCCAAGCTCTTGTTCTGCCCGTGCTGGCCGGCTGACTATGTCCATCACATTACGGAGCGGCGTCTCTATCGCGAATCTTTGTAATTCTGTTTACTAGTCGTAGAAGGTGGTTTTCGATCTTTTTTCTGTGTTGGATTCAATACTTTTACGTATTTACTCTGTTCCATGAAGCCAATACCCCGCCTTTACCTTCGGGTGAACATATAGCGAGATGCCCTCATAGTGCTCTGCGATGATGTCACTGGGATCGCAGATCCTCTTTCTTCTGTTCCTGCTTCTTGTTTTTGTCGCTCGCTCTATCTGATGTGCCAAACGTGAAAAAGTTCACGACTACCGTCCTATATAAGACAACGCAGTGAGCGGTAGGGCGCCGAACGGATGACGACCAGCTACGGTCAGCTTACCTACGCACACAACCGAAAAGTAACTAGATTCTTTAGTTCTTTTTCCTGTTTTCAGATTCATCCTATGTAGTACTCTTGACCGTGGGCCTCATCCGACCATAGTTTTGACGCTTCGTCGACTACTGCACGGGTTATGTTCTCACAGCATGCTTCGTTGGATCACCGACACGTTCGACTGGCCGCCTTATACCAGCTTTGATTCTGGCTCCTATTGCTTAAAGTACTGATCACGTACGAGCGTCTAGACGTGGCACCATTATGTCTTTACCACTACTGCGACACTTATAATTAATACAAAAGGCCATTAGATCTTCGCGGATTGTTTTTCATGTTAATTGGATTTTAGAAGCACTGAAGTCAGCAGCGGTAGTACGGCAGTAACAAAAATAGTTAGTTATAAGACAACCTACTGAGAAGGGTTAAGCTTCCAAACATTCTGGCAAGTCCCCAGGAAACGTATGATCGAATAGGGGAGAAAATCTATATATGATAAGTCTTTTTTCCCTGCGCAATTTGGAAAGGCGAACGTGTAATGCGGACTATTAATATATCAAGACCTCGTGTACCTGAACAAGATGATCTTGTACAAACGACGTGATGTATCAGAAAGCGTGTATCTTTATAACGGTGCTTTGCTGTATAATGCAACGTGTTTTGGTCCAATTGCAATAAAAACGATTCTCTGAGATATATCGCGTAAAACAGCTGTACATTTGATTGGACGTTCTGGCGTATCATAAATCATATATGCCAAACCGAGATTCGAAACAAAACAACAAAGACAAATTCAAACTAACAAAAAACCTAAGACAATTAGTAACTGAAAGATCTTTACGCGAAACCATATTTTTAACGGTTCATAGTCGATCAGAAATCGAAATTCATAGAGTGGTGTTTTGATGCTCGTGAAGATTCTTCAGCCATACAAGGTTACTACGCGAGCTCTACCTGATGTTTCTTTTTGCGGTACATCTTTTAGCTGCAGGAGTGGTTTTCGTCACTACTATCCAACGAGCATTTAGTCAAAGTATTATTTACAATCTACGAATTGTCGATAGCTAAAACTACTAAGCATTGATTTTTTTTTCGGCTTTAAAAATAAACAGTAATATCTTTGGGGTTCTGCCTTTGTTGGTGATACGGAGCCACGCTCACATCGGGATCAAGTGCAGTCTCGTTGGCGAATTCGTCCTCCCAGCTGAGCTTCTTGACTCTTCGTGGAATTGAACCTAGAGGCCATTGAATACGACTCGTACTGCCCGAGATGGGCAATCGTGGCGTTCGCGAATTGCCTGCAGGCCGTGTTACCAGCCGTTGGAAGCCTTCGTGGGCTACCTCCTGCTCGCTAGTCGACCACGTGTCTTCACGTTCACTTGCGAACATTGGGTTCTCCACACCTGGTGGCTTCTTGGGTGTGTTCACTTTGTGAGGTTCAATTGTAGGTCGTGGTGGAAGAGGCCCGTGCCCAGTCAGGCCATTGCCATCGATTACAACCGGCAGATGGTTTCTGTATTTTTTGTTTTTAAGAATATAGAAAACCATTGTGATGATGATTAGCACGAGAATGCCTAATATGACACCAAAAGCTGCCGGCAAAATAAGCGCCGAGTTGCGGAACAGACCCGATGCAGCGGCCACTTCTGGTAGACGGATAGTTACTAGACTGGTCGATTTTCTGGGCGGTACCCCGTTATCCGTGGCCACGATGACCATATGAGAGGTGATGTTTACTTGGTCCATGTTCTTGAGGCGAATCTCCCCTCGATCATTGATATAGAACGCATTTGAATTGGGGCCTTCAAGCGAATAACCAATTTGATCGTCACGGTCACCGTCAGTACATTTCACTTTACCTACAAGCTCACCCGGCTTCGCGTTAACTGGCATAATGAAGGTGTACTGCGGAAACTCGAATACAGGATCATTATCGTTGGCATTCAGAACTGTTATGTTGATCTTTGTCAAATCGCGGTCCTTTCCATCGGACACGAACGCTGTCAATATGTACTCGCGCCGAATCTCGTAATCGATACTCTTCTGAAGGTAAACCTCGCCTTTGGTCCCTATCGAGAACGTACCCAGGCTCCGCTCGTTGTCGGCCTCAACGAGCTGAAACTTGAGGTTCTTCTCTGTGGACTTCGTCGTTTGCAACCGCAAGATCACCTGACCAGGAGGAGTGGATTCGACCAAGGGTACCGTATATTCTCGCTGAAAGAACTTCAATTCGTGCGGAAGGAACTCCGATGAGGCTACGGTCAGTGTGGTAAGCGAAAACTTCTCTTCATCATTGCGTTGCGTGGCACGGATTACTAATACAATTGGGAGCTGTGTGTTTGCAGGCAACTTGCGCGCGAGTGTCACCTGACCCGAATAGGGATCGATGTCAAAATACGAATACTCGGCCTTGTTTGAGCTGAGCGAATATTTGATTGGTGCACGGATTCCCTCATCGGGATCCGTCGCTTGGATTCGACTTGGCAAAACGTCGAGGGGTTCGCGAAGCTTCGGTTCTGGTGGTAAGTTGAGCAGGTAACGCTCGTGAAGGAAACGCGGATTTTGATCGTCCGCATCGAGTACGTGTATCGTTAGATTAGTCCGAGAGACCATCGGCGGATTTCCTTGATCCTGTGCCCGTATCGTCACGTTGAAGCTGGGCACCGTCTCATAATCGAGCTTTTCGACTAGCGTCAATGTGCCGTCGAGGCTACTTTCGAATGCCACGTATTTACTGTGCTCAGACCTTTCAATGAAGTATTCGACTGTTGAATAGCTACCCGGCTGGTCGGCATCGACCGCGCGTATGAGACCTTGGGACACGACACTACCTGGAACAGTCGCTTCGCTCACGTTCAGCACATATGGAGTGGCCTGGAACACTGGTGCGTTATCGTTGACGTCCGTGACAATAATCTTAATCGGTATTGATATGCTAAGGTCATTCTGTGGGGTGCACAGCGCCTCAGCTGATATGTCTCTAAGGCCTGAATCTCCCTCTTTGTCTAGCTGCTTCTGTAGGATTAGGCTCTTGTTGCGGAAAGTGACCGCGTCAGTATTCTCTATTGTCAACGTGATCCCTTTGCCTAGCTCGCCAAACACTTGAACGACGCCAATTTCACCTCCGATGCGAAAGTCCTCGCTTACCGTAAATGTAACCGAGGATGCTCCTGATGACAGGTAGCAAAGGTTGTTATCCTTTTCCTGTGCGTGAACGCCGGCTGCTGCTAAAATCAGCAGCAGCCTCAGGACAACATTCCGACCGTTTGTGCGCATATCACAAACGGTGCCTGTAATAACGCCTCACCAAGATGGCCACCAGTGTTACCATCAATGGACGGGGTTTGTCAGCCGCCTTCTGGCTCCCTAACCGTTTCACTCAGAATACTCCTAGAGTACTTTGGCGGCATCCATTGTTCCACGACAGCGGAGGTTCCATGATATGAAGCTAAACAGGTGTAGGCTTATCAGCTATAAGGTCTATAATAATGCGCTCCTAATTGAAATACGACTGCGCAGGTCTAGTTAAAACGCAGCTCATCATAATCATATGGGAACTGGGATTAGGATGCTTCCATTTTGGTAACAGTTTGTAGAACCTAAAGCCGTTGATTAAATACTACACCTCAGGTTTGCGTAAATTCGATTTATTTGCGTTACTTGTGCTTTCTGCCGCCTAGGAAGTTCGATCGAGGTGAAATTGTGAGATGTTGCCGACTGGCTAATTCCAGTTGCCGACGTCGTTATCAGTGGCGATCATGGCGTCGCTAGATTGAGTAACGACTGCGGTTAGAGGAATTGTTGTTATATGCTGAATCGTTTAATACATTTTCTTCATCATGCGTAGTAACGATAACGGCACGCTGCGCCGGATAAGACCCCGATTCAGTAGACCTCAGTGAATTGTCACAGTATTCAACCCAGAGCATTACCGCTAGGGCGGTCATTAACAGTATACCCAACGTACATGCACAGGTACCATCTTACAGGAACTTACGCATGAGAAGATCAAGTACCATTCAGAACTCGCCGTAGTTGGACTCTTCTATTATTGTTATTTCTGGTTCCCGTAATGGTAACATCAGCAACGATTGCGATAGCAATAGTCGGTTTAGCAGCTGCTGCAAAGAGTCGAAAAAGGATAAGCCAAGACGATCAGCCAGTCTGGGTCAAGTAGTAAACAGTCGAGCTACCCAATAACTTGCCACTATCGGTGTATAGAAGCTGCTTTTGTGCTCCGGCTGATAATAATTAAAATAGGGTCGTGCCCCGTTTCGCTACGCTGGCTGCACGGTAGGACGGACAAACAGGCTATCGTGTAGACAGCTGCATAAACTGAGACACCGCACGAGTTCGACGATGAGAAGAACTAAAGAAGAAGTGCTAGTCTACCCGACGCATGTTAGACGGGCTGGTCTAAATCAGCGCCATCACACAGGGGAATCGTCACGGTTACCGTCGGCGCTACTGCAAGGGCAGAAGTCGTGGATGTGCTGCCCGAAACGACTGACGCTTGACGAAATCGTCTTTTCCTTTTGTTGTTTCGTTCTGTTGTTGTTACGTTATGTTTTGTTGTGTGGGACAATGCCAATGATAACGACGACGGGAAAGCGAGCCGGCAAACGAAGTGCTGAAGAGTACGCAGATTATGATGGTGACAATAAAGTTGTTCGAAACAACGAAGTCGCAGAAGATGAAAATAGATCATGAAAAAAAATGCTTCAGAGAGGAATGGGTTCGATGAAAGGTGTTGTTTCTGATAAGTGCGTTCGCTATGCTTGAAGGACAGGCAAAAACCTTAAGTGATGACCAACGCACTATTAGACAGTAGAAAAGGATGAACGGCTCGTCGATCGACTGAGTTACCGCATTTAGCTAAGGATAATATCCTTTCGGTATACCACAACATTTGCCACGAGGTCTTATTTGAATGTGCACAGTTCGTATCCAAAAGCGTTAGACGCAGTATCCAGAATCGAAATTCCGCACCAATATTTATAGTGTTTTCGCGTTTTTCTGTCACGACGTGATGGCCGTCAACTCACGAAATAATAAAGGTACGTACGATATCCGTTAATCACCTTTTCAGCTGTACGAGAAGGGCACTGTTGAACAATTTCTAATGCATCACCACACTGAACTATATACGCCGTATGAGTGCTACGGCTGAGGTGGAACCGGGTAACGTATTAACATAGCTACGTACTACTTGTTCAATTCTTAGAAGCTCACGGACTCCGGCATCAGGCGTTGCTGCAGCCGTTGACCGTTAGCTCTGAAATGATTCACCATAGGTGGTGCTCCGTGGGCTAGTTGATGCGGTTCGTGAGTCCCCTATCGTTACTGGGGTGATTGGGAGTCGTGGCGCCTTTCCCTAACGGCGAGGGTTGCCAGCGAGATATCGTCTGTTTGAACGGATCCGCACCATGGCGCCATCTGGCGTCTCTGGTTAGGGACAGCTGCGCGGAGAAAACTTCTGCGGCTGGGAGACAAATGAAATGACGTGTCCAGCAAACGAATGGACATCGCATTGACTCGAATGGCTGTAACACTTTGATAATGTTTTGCTTTCGTGAGGGCCACGCTTCGTTTCAGCTGTAGTCGATGTATAATGGCGGTGACATTTTGGTGCTTTCGTGAATTAAGTAAGAGAACTACGCAGAAGATAACTGGAAAGAAAGTAATAAATTGTATTAAGAGACGGGAGTATAGTGCAGCTTTTAGAGAACTTTTAGCAGGGTCACTATGTGTCTGCTACTTGAGACACCGCCCCATATTTTTTTGTTGAGTATGTCCTTCATCCTTCAAGCAAGGTACGTTAAGAGCTATGCTCTTAACGTTTATGAACGGACGGATAAAGCCCGCTGTTTAAATGTCACATCTTTCACTATAACAACGACCTCGCCTAACAACCCCCACAAATAAACATTTTCTTGCTAAATAGAAATTTAACAAAGTAATACTTATTGCAAACGTCTACTATACAGATAGATATGTGCCATATTTCCCGTGATAGCCTGTTGAGTAACGTATTTGCCTGTTAATCTTAGGGATACGTTGTGGTCTAGCTCGGAACACAGGCATGGATACACATTCGTTTCGTACTAGGAGCCAGGCGTCTCACAGAATGCTTAGCAACAGTACCAGACGTAACCTCGAAATATAGAGATACGTGGCACATTTGTAATATTCTATTGTATGAACATACGACAGGATCCGATAAGGCACACGATTATGCTCCGCAACTCATCTGTCGTCCCTGTGTTACAAAATTCGGAACCGATTTCCGCCATCTTTCTATCCTAGTCACCGCTAAATTGCAAAAAATAAGCAGGAGTAGTGCGTATGTACAGCATCTGGTAGGATATGTCTCAGGTACCATGGACGTCACGCGTTGCAGGATCTTTTTTGATCAGATTCTCCGACTAAACACATCAATGTTGATATTCTTAAGTGTTAATCTCATGCTTTTATACGAAACAATTGTAGTTTTATACTATATATAATAAATGTGATGTTTTTGTTCTGTTATTCTGTGTGGAGCACACAAAGATAGCTCGTTTTCATCATCAGTTCGCCCGAATCATCAAATGTGTGCTCAAATGTAAGCAAATGGATGAGCACGAACCGCGTTTTCATACTAACAACAATAATATATAATGCTTTAACCAAACCTGCCGACGTGTCACGCCGACCGTCAGACCCGACGCGCCTTTCTCCTTGAGAGGCACGTAGACATGATCAGGGATCAACAGTGAATGAAATCAGCTGCAGCTTCTGCAGCCCGAGTAATGCAACTCCGGTTAGTTGAGTTGAGGCTTGTGATTATACACAATAGCCTCGTATCTCGTAGTAATGAAACCATGCGATGCTTTAATGGCGGTGCCGGTGACACGCCTTGCAGTGAAACAGGCAGCAGCGATGAAATCGACGCCAACTATAGCTTTTTCTCTTTCTCTCTTGGTCTTGGCCACCTTTTCTCTAGGTCCTGGTGGCTGAATATAGTGGTTAGTTGGACCGACGCTCATCTACAAAAAGATTTCATAAAAGAAGAACCAGCCGGACGGATCATCAAGGGCCTAAAAGACGGAACCGTCAAGCGAGTAGACCACTGTCCCCTTTTATGCTGGGAGTTGCTATTTCACTGTCCAGTGGCTTATCTGATATTTAATATACGCTTCCGATTGTTCGCGTCACTCTGTTATTTATTTGGGTTTATTTTAATCTGGCAGTGACGGCGGCGGTAGCAATGCGTGAACGTCTAACCGGATGCCTCGAGCCCAACAATTCCGTATCTAGAAGACACAGCAAACTTCTATGACCGATTTTATTATGTAGACGCTTGAGTAGATAGATCAACGTTGGGCACTCTTGCGTCGTTGTCAATATTCAGTAGCATTTTACAATCAAACTAATGTCGGTGGTGGGAAATGTCAGAAGAATGATCCAGGTTCCGAGTGTTTGCAAGGCGTGTGCCATAGTTTAGGTAGCATTTCAAAGAAGCAGTTATTTCAGCAGTCGTTGCTAGGCAACGGGTGCGTATTACGAATACACTGATCGTAGAAATAATCATTTTAATAGCTAAAGGAAACGCGACAGGGCAACCTGAAGCAAGTTTTTATGAATATGTGCAAGCAGGTATGGCTAGCGGCTTAGTTATTGCTATTCATTTTTAGATGTTGTTCCATCTTCGAATTTCAACAAATCCTCCCTGAAAGATACTGTCTCCATTAATCCAACGCGTTACTACTGCCTTGTATATACAACAGGCTTAAGATGAACCTTTTGAGTCTGCACAGATTAGACATAGGACAGCAACTCGCGCACTTCGTTAGACGAATAAAAAGCAATCTAAGAATATAGGTCTAATTTGTTTCGATCACAGTGAGACCTCTTCAGAGGTTCGGTGCGGTATCCGACTGAAACCATTAGTACTAGTTACAAGTCTAGCTTCAAAACCTGTTATCACAGCTATTTCACAGTGATCGAACTCGGCGACAGATCCGGCACGTCATAAATGTACGTTTAATGTTAAAGGCAGCATGCTCCCAGACCCTTACCGAAAAGACGCCTCATTGAAGTCGTAGACGATGCTGACTCGCTTCATACGACGATAAAAAAACAGGTAAAGGTAGGCAGGTGCTTTGCCGGATGTACCCCAGTGCTACGGCAGAGCTTTAATGAAGTCGCCACGTTATATGATGATGATGATGCCACCGCCGCCGTCTGCTACCCTGCATGGGTCCTCGGTAAAGGTTTCCTGAACGAAAGAATAGAACGAAGCAATTGTCTACCGGCGGTGTGGAAGCAACAGTCACGGTACAGTTTATCTCTGTATACAGCTTGTGAAGTCATGCGAGGATGTGGCACTTCGTTTGTTTAGTACGTAGTAAGAGAGGAAGTACTAAACGGAACGGCTATTTTGAGCGGTCGTTATTCTAGAGGCGAACGGGTGAATCGTTGCGCAGAAAAAAAAAGAGATTTACCTAAACTGTTTTAGTTATTCTCAAAAACATTTCCTTTGGTTATCCTGGTTGGTTATCCTTAAGCACTTGATAAGCTCAGTATAACTGACATTGGCTATGAATGATAGAAGATAACTACTGAACAGTTTCCTGAATTTGTCTCCAAGCGCTCAAAGGGTTCAGAGTTATCTTGTTTAAAGGGCATAAGAAAAACAGAGAATGATTTCGCAACAGCTGGTAAACATGTCAAGGTTACATAATAGACCTATTATCTAAAGCCAATTAGTTATTATCGTTCATTGCTGTCAGTATGTGTATAAAAGCATTTGTACTGTAGCACGTTCGACGATTTTCCAGCCACCTATTGGCCAATATTTTATTAACAACACCTCGTCGAATGCCATAATAAACAGTTATTAACAAACTATTGTTTATTTTCGTTTGATTTTGATCCACCCTTTTTTTTTCCGCCTTGATTTTTCTCCGAGGGTTACCCGCGAGCGGCGACTCTTCGCTCGGACTTACCTGCCTTTTTTAACGAACAGTTTTTTTTTTTGTATTGTCGGCAAGGGGTGCTCAATTAAATTAGTAGAACCGCAATAGCATTAATAACGAACACAGTAATAACGATGACAAGTTAACTTTATTACTTTAGATAGCGAAATGGCTTTCTGCTCACGTTCTAGCAGGGGGCGTTGGCCAGGCAAACAAAAAGGCACCAAGGATGGCCATTAGCTGGTAAACACTAAAGCAGTACCAGCAAAAGCCTTTAGGCAACAAATACCGCTGAGGGTATGACGTACCGGACACGCATTAGCACATACAGTATACAAAGGCCCATTAGTACGCGTACACGTAAACACGCGCAGACGCATATCGATTAGCAGTGAATAGGAAAAAAAAATACTGTTACGTCAAGCAACGTGCTAAAGACACACAAACACCTAATACGATATTTGTTTACCTGTATATCTAAACAGTAATAAATAGTTGTGCGAAAGTATTCCTTGTGGAAGTTGCTATTAAGTGAGGAGGCACTATTTTATCTGCAATGATATTTGCGTATGTTGCCGTGATAGTGCCGGCATACCCCTGTGTACTTCCTACCATGTACCGCCTATTAGTATAATGGATATAATGGTATGGAAAAAGTTCGTGTTTCGTGTTTTCGTTCGCTTCTGTAACTGCAACGCGATGCCAAACCGACTCCGGCCGGCTAAATGGGGGCTAGCAACAATTTTTGTTGTGAGGAAGTGGTATATTGTCAACGTGGGATGCTGACGTCGATAGGGCTTCCATTGTTGCTGGGAGCGTATTCTGTTTTCTAGCGCATTGATAATTAGTTGTTGCTGTCCTGTGCTTGTTGTTGTTGCCGTTGTTGTTTAGGGCACAAATTATAATATAGCATAGATAATGAACGCAGCCCATAGATACCGCGACAACAGTTAATAATAGTAGCCTACAAAATCAATCCGTATGCGTGTAATCAAGAACAAACGCCATATGGTTATTGCCCCGCGGACAGATTTATGCTTGGCCGTTGCAGAAACTCAGAACGTAGTAGGACGAGATTACAACCTTGATACGGCCAACATATCCATAGAACATGATGTCTGTTCGAATTAACACGGGCTAAATCAATAAAGCGGTGCGTAGCACGACAATTGTTAGGTACTGCGTATATTCTGCACGTTGAACAGGAACCAAAGAAATTTTTTTCCTAAGGGACGCCGAACTAGCCAGAGGGGCAAAACGTGCTAACGCAGAATGATCCAACCAATACCGCGTGCAATACAGA